CTCCCATCAAAATTAATGAAAAAACTCCCACTCTTTCAGGGGGTGTTGGTCTAGACTCGCAATGGACAGGTTCTTCACGCTCAGGAGCCATCTTTATTCCCAACCAGGTGTCTTACAGTCAGATAGGTGCAACCACATCTGCACAGCACTGCACCTGACCTTAGGCCAAAAGTGAAGTCGTCCTTTGGAACAGAGCAATCAAAAGCTGTAAAGCTCCTATAAATGGTACTTTTTCTGGATTAGCCACTTGGCTACATTGTGTATATTGCATTTCCATCTTTCTTGTCATATTAAAGTGAACATTCTTTATTTCTTGTGTTATCTTGTAGTACACATATGGGGTGAGAAATATAGCTGAATTAGCAAAATAGATTAAGTGTTGATAGATTTCCAAGGTTGCTTTTTTGGTTGGTGATTATTTGTTTTTTTTTTTTTCACTTTTGGTGGATAGCAGTACTGTTTTCTACACTTAGTCTCTTTCTTTCAGCTGAGTGAATTTTGTATGCTATAAAAAATGTTTGTCTTTTTATTCTTTTTTTTATGTATTCTGTTTTTCCCAGTCCTGTGGTAGCTACTTGATTTGGTGTTTATTTCACGTAGCAGAAAATACCTACCACAGAAATGCAAAGGCAGCCTGACAGCAAGCTTCTCTTTGGGCATGTTGACATCATCCTCCTCTCTGAGCTCTAATTCAACTTTCAACACAATGCCTAAAACCGCACAGCCTCTGGGCACAAAAGATGAACACGAGAGTACACTTGTGCATTCTGTTGCCCTGTAAGCAAATTGCCTTGTTAATGAGGACTCAGTCAAATAATGGGCTTGATAGTCTGTGTTTAGATTAGGTAAGATAAAGTGCAAAAGTGGGTTTTGGTGTGTCACAGACAGCAGCACATCCTGTTCAAAGTCCAGGGCTGTGAATGCCATTGTCTAATTCTTCAATGTCTCTCACAAGTAAAGGCAAGATAGAGCTACTTCATGTGTAATAACTACTCTTTGGAAAAAATGAGTATGCTAGGATTTTTTAATTTCACTGATAGGCCAAACTGGAGCTGCACTTTGCAAAGTGCATATATACCTCATAAAAGATAACTCCTGCTTTCAGTTGTCTGTCTATACTTACATGGACTATGCCTGGAAGGAGGAGAGAAGAATGCCATTGCCTTCATGTAATAGATAAGGAACAGAAACTCTGTGGCTGTGTGCACATGAACAGTGTTTGTGGGGTGAACATTGCCTCCCCTGCTCATGATGATAAAAAATCAGTGCATGCACACAGAGAACCCCTGAAGATTGGATAATGTGCTTTGAATTGCTCCATCATGCTATCTTGTTCAGGTAGTCATACTTGTAATGAATTGTATCTAAACTCTCTCCCAATAAGTAGCAAGGTAACGAACAGCCTTTTCACTTCTGAATGCTCCAGACCCACGACGTAGTTGGTTGTCTGTCTGAGCTCTGCATTTCAGCAGCTGGAAGTTGATGGAAGAGAGGAGGGAAAAGGCATCTGTGTTTCTGTAGTTTTCCCTTCCAAACTAAATAGCTTGGATGAGAGAAGAGGGAATGTAACTGAATTGTTCAGACAATCTGTTCTTTCAATTGGTGGGGTTGGGAGGTTAAAAGATTTTTACAAATAAACAGTAAAAAAAGGGAAGTATTAGTTTTTGTGTGACAGAAATGCTGTAATTCTGCTGTGCTCTGTACCACATAAAATACTAAAATATGGGAGTTTTATGTTATCTGTCCTTCTCTTGTAGAACTAGTACATTCTCTTCTTATCATTATGTCTCATCTGGTACATTATTCAAACTCAAGCCAAAGTATTCCACCACTTGAGATATCACATAAACAAAAACAATGTGAAGAAGCTCATAATAAACACATCACAAAAACCTGCTTCTTGGCCTTATAAAATCCTGCTTGCTCTGCTTTGACATGGCAAAGAGCACATCAAACCCGCTTGACCAACTTCCTCAGTGGGACACAATCTGAAGGTAGACTGTGTCTTCCACAGGCAGCTCTCTGTCATCCTCAGCACATTTTCTGTAGTGGGCGACGTGCCGGGACTCACGTCTCTGTGATCCAGCAATCAGCCAGTGCGATCCTATCGGCTGGGTGTAAGAGAACTGCCTATGCTGTAGACCCACAGTCTATTTTATACTGCTTTTGAATTTCCCTCATTCTGACAGAAGAATGGTTCAGTGTTGGCACACATGGTGAGTCAGCTTCAGGGCTGTTATAACCTGTAATAGTTGGTGACAGCCTCCAAGACACTGGTATGTCAGGGCAAAGACAGCTGGTTGGCAGCAGTCCTGGCCGTACTCACTCTCTCACTGACTTCACATGCTCTGGAGTTACGACATGGACAGCGGAAAGTGGTTTCATGAAGTCTGTGCCTGTAGGGGACTTTGTATCTCATAGAAATGTCCATGTAATCACCAAATTTTTATTCCACAGTGACAGGACAGGAAAAGGATCTCATCTTAGCCATTTAGGATCTTTTGTTTTAAATAGACTAAGTAAAAAACCCTAGCCATTCTCTGTCTTTAAAAAAGCGGTTAGTTTAACGTAGTTGACTTCAGAGATTCACCACTGCATGTTCTGTAATTTGGATGAGAAATATGCTGCTCTCAAGACTGAATCTAAGCAGAACTCTTCTTTGATAAACTAATCCTTGTAAAATCTAGTGTGCTGCTGTGTTTAACAGAGCCAGAAGCGAGCTATTAGTTCTTTTTTTTTTTTATTTATTTTATTTTGTTCTCTTTCAACAGACTGTTTAGAGTACAGCATGTTGAAAGAATAGGAATGGGGCTCCCCAACAGATATTTGTTATGGCTGTATTCTTCCTTTCACCAGAAACAGAAACCACACAATCCTTACAGCAATCAGCATGAAACACATCATGTTAAATCCTTCATTTCTTTAGCATAACATGAAGTCTCTCTTTCTCTCATATTACCATTCTGGTCAGTCAGGTATGTGAGGTTTTTCTAGGCAACAGGTGTTTTTTGAAATAAAATACAACCTTCCCTTCAGCTCATTATGTGAAAGAGACAGCAGCTGCAAGTATAATGCTGAGGACACATGGTCTATAAGACATCCAGAAGAAAAATACTCCTTGTTCCACTTGTTAAGGTAAAGCACAGATGTTGCTTCAGTGATAAGCATGAGCATAAGGCAACCACAGTCTGCTTCATGTTGTAAATTCAGAATCTAAGATTTCAGAATATTTAATAGGCTTCAATCAGAATCACCAGTTCCTTTATGTAAGGGAAAGTTGTTTATGTCTAATCTCACAGTCTAACAAATACTCCCTATCACAGTTTGCATTACCCTATCATCAACAATATGCTAGGGATTATTCACAGACTTGGCAGGTAAATTATTAATAACCTTTTATATGGACTCAATTATGAGTATCAGTGACAAATGCATAAATTAATACACTTACTGATTTAAACATTTACAGATAGTTTATATTAAAAATATTTTAGTCATTTAGAATGTTAAATGCATTTTTTTTTTCCGTGCTTAGTGTTGGTACTAAAGCTATTGCTCTATCTCTCAGATCTAGACGGTTGAGAAATCAACTTCAAAATAACGGTGTCTAATGAATGTGATGACCAAATCTAGAGCAGACCCTTTCCAAGGAGAAATTCTCTGCTCAGTTAGGTTGATAATTCCCCTTCCCCCCTTGCCCACCCCAACACCCCATTTATTATTTTTTCCTTCATTTCTTTAAAGAGCAAAGTACATATATTGTAGCTTATGGTATAACTGTTAAGCTGAAAAGGCTTTTTCAAATAAAAAGGAAGTGCTGAATTTCCTGAGAAACACAAAGACCCTCTAGAATTGCCTGATCTCCTTACTCCCTCCAGTTTTCTAGGCCTAACTAGGTCAGAAACTCTACCCTACCAACAAGAACATACAACACCACAGAGAAACCACAGTTCACAGAATAATCTCAGAGCTCTTGCTCTGTGAGTAGACTGGTTACTTTGGCTGTCTTGCAAAATATTTATGCTGGCCTTGCAGCATAAGTCCCAATAGCTTGTAGGACTGCATATTTTTCTGGCTACAGTGTTTCTTATGTAAAAAAGCAGCCACTGCAAGGAATTGGGAAGTGTACAAGTGGAGAAAGGCCTGATGGCATGGATCTACTAGAAAAAGTAAAAACCTTCGCACTCCTTCAGATACAGCTCAAGCAGACCCCAGCTCTTTCGCTTGTGGTTTTTTTTTGTTTGTTTGTTTGTTTGTTTTTTTTTCAAATCTATATTGGTAAGCTGTTGGTAAGATGAGTCCATCCTTTGTCATTCTATCACCACCAGTTTTAGAGAAGACAGGCTTAAAATATAAAATTAAACAAACAAGCATTGATCACAAGATATTACAAGCTTACGAAGTAATTTCATCATGAAAATGATATCATAGCACTTCCTTGCTGTGACATATGTGGTAAAAAAGGGTCATTTAAATGTCTGACATACTCATTTTTCAGTCTGCTATGTTGTTCCAAAGGAAAGAGATGTGAGTAATAAAACCAACCAAGCAAAATATCAAAATCTGTGCATTAATTGGAATGATGACACACGTGCCTGAAGACAACCACAAGAAGTTATCACTGCTCAGACCCACCTTTTGTTCGCTACTCATTTGTCTACTCATGTTCTTAATTGTGTTCCTGTCCTGCAAAGCACTTAGCAGCCAACAGGACAATTCAAATTGCTTGTGACTGAGACTATTTATGTATTTTGAATACTATGGTCTTCCACCTTTGATGCCGTAGAAAGGGTGTGGTCTCTTCTTATGAATCCATACAGCCTTTTGCCCCTTGTGAGCCAACTGTCCTGTGTGTTATGCCAGGTTATTACTACTTCAAGAACTAATAATTCAGAGTACTGATATTAAGATTCTACTCTGCTCAGCAATCAAGGCTGATCACACAGAATCCAAGACTTGTACGCTTATAAAGTGGGGAGATAATCTGAGTAAATACTCACATGTGTCTTCACATCACCTTCAAGAATCTTGCTGTACCTGAGAAACTCAGCAACACTTCCATTCAGCAGCCTATCAAAGGCTTCAACATATGGTGCTATGCCTGCAGAAGAAGAGCATTCCATCATAATGGGTTCATAAAGTACATAATGCATAGGACATTACTTTGTAGCAGATGGAGGAGAAATACCATAGAAACAGGGGAAATAGCTGTAACTTAGTTTCTGCCGTACTGATTGATTTATGAAATCAGTGAAAAAGGATGTATAATAATTTTTTCCTAGCTAGAAAGAAAAAAACATGGATCTTGGTAGAAATTGGCTAGGAACATGAAGAGAATTTACTCTGTATAAGGTAGTGGGAAGACTCTTTTAAAAACAGGTGCTAAAATAAACATTTCTCAGCCCTTCAAAAGACTAATGACCTGATAAGCACGACTGTCTTACCAAAATTCTGCTGTTGTACATAGAACAAATCTTATCACCTAAAAAGAATCTTCACTGTACTGAATAACTATTTTTATACCACCCACCCATTCCTGAAGATCTTCGTATTTTTTGGTGGCTTTTAATACAAGCAATTCAATTTCCTGTAAGATAGCCTTTAGAATGGGTTGTCAGTGGATTTATGCAGTAGGATGTGACTTTGTAATCTCCTTATTTTGTTGTCTGACCTTGCAAAACTGTCACTGGATAAGGAAAGCTGAAACGAGTCTTCTAGATGACAGCATCCCACTGACTATATATATATGCCATACATTCTAACAGAGGAATAAAAATGCTACTTCCTAGACGGTATACAGAGCAGTTTCCTGATAAAGCGGACAATCAGAAAACGCAGATGAGACTCAGTTTCTTATGCACCTGGCTTCTAAACAGCTTTAACCTTTTAAGACAGCAAAAGTAATCTTCCCTTGGATGCTTTCCAGCCCTCCCTTTACTCCCTGACATATCCTCATGTCTCGTCTCTGCCTCAGAACCTTTGCCAGGTCCAGCATGAGCGATGCACATGTGAATTCATGGCATCTGTAGGATCTGAGAGACCAAGGCTAAAACTCTTCCCAGCCTCTCTCCCTCATTAATGAAGCCTGAAGACTTCTCTGAAGAGGTACCAGTCTTTCCCCAGAGAGTTTGCTTTAACCTTTTGGCACTGTATGACAATTGTGTCCAAATTCATAACCTTGAAAGCCCTCTTTATTTCTCAAGAGTTATCTGGCTCCTTGACAGAAAAAAAGAAAGGGTCTGGCAATTGGAGTCTGCAATGGCCTGTATGAAAAAAAAAAAATAGTTAGTCAGCTAGGCGGGATTTCAGGGCTCCTTTTGTTCTCTTGATGTCACTCATCTTTAATTCTGAGGAATTTCTGGGCTTTCTTCCACATTAAGTGTTTGTGTGTAAACCCCTCAAATGACCTAGTGTACAAAAGGTTTTAGTTGTGGAGATGCTTTCCAAAGCCCATTTATGTTCTTTGTCAAAACCTGTGTATGTCTCCAAGAGAATCTTTGTAACCTTTTACTTTAGAGCAGAGTTTTAAATAGCAGTTCACCAAATGGCAATTGTCCTGTGCAAAACTAGAAAGCAACTATGCTGTTTTTTACTATTCAATACAGCTAACTCCCAGGAGCATTTACTAGAATTTGCTGTGGGCTGTGCAGAGCAATTGAATGATTTGCTTGCAATCCTGCTGTTGTAATGCCATTTAGGAAAACAGTAAATGTACAGTTCCCCTATCATCCTCGTTGTTTTATTGTGTCTGAAAAAGTATTAATTGATAAGTCAAGGTTATTTTTTGTAATAATTCTAATGATGGAATGCTTTGTTAGGGGTAGGGGTCATGGTAGAAGAAAGCAATATATCTCCATTTCCACTAGAGACTTAAAAAAGCTCACACTCCACCTGAGTGTCAGTTTTAAAGGAAAAAAAGAGAAAGAGATCTGTTCTAGAAGACCGTCAACTGCAGTTGCTGTGGAGGTTATGTGAACCTCTGCAGAAGCACACTACCACAGGCATACCGAATGACGTTTGTGGCACTATCTGCCTATCGGTCACCCAAACTGAAGAACCGGTGCAGACTTTTCTACCTGCATCAGCAAAAGCTGATTCCCAAGTCCACGGGTGAGACACCTCTGCCAGGAGCCGTGGTGCAGGCTGGCGAGTGCCCCGCGGTGCTGCTCATCTCAGCTTCTTACTGCAATCTCCTAGCGGGTGTGTTTTATAACCTCACTCCAACAAGGTTTGTCACATGGTTTCTTCTAGGGATCTGTCGGGCTTTTACGGCTCTGCTTCCCCGGGGGGTGAATCTTTTCACCTGACTGAGCTCTTAGGTTAGGCCAAGGATATAGCAATTTTCATGGCAGTACCTCACACGGTGAGTTCATCTCCTGTTCTGAAAGCAGCCCTGGTTGTACAGTACTGAGCTCTGGATTAACACAGAGATTCACCTAAACGGATTCATTATAGGATCGAAGCTTGTATTTTTTAAAAATGTAGATCTCCTAGTAGTGATTTATTTATTTGTCAGTTTGTACATGGATCGTGTTTATCCGTGACTTCACTTTATGGTTTAGTAGCCATCTAGGGTTTCTCTGGACTGTAAGCATTTTCTTACTGAAGCTTCCTCCGAGGGGCTAACTCATCGGCTCTGGAAGGCGGCTGGAAGGCGCTCCCTTCCTGCCAGAAACACGCTGCTTTCAGTCAGCCCCTCCACAGCAGCTGCCGGCGTGTAGGCCCAGGGCACGCGTGACTGTGGGGAAGGTCCCTCACACGTGTTGGGTAAGGGCTGGCATATAGGGACAATAAAGCAGCTGACATGCACTGACTTGCTTCTGTGTCAGGAAGGAAGCTGCCTGCAACTTTCTGCTTGTTCTGCAGCTTCTGCACAGCAACTGAGTCTGTCCCAGGATGTGCTTGTCTCTGGAGAATGTGGGAAAGGGCCAAGGAATACAGACAGAAAAGGACATGAAGCTAATAAAAAGATGTATGTTGGAGTTCTGTGTGAAAAAACAAGCTCCAGGGAAAGGAAAGGGCACCTCTGTTCAGGCAATATTAGAACTGCCACATTTATAAGGTTATTTACCCTGTAAATTTCAGGAACAAAAAACTAAGGGGTGAAAAGATACGATTTGGAGGTGCGATGTGAATAAATGAAGATAGACTTTTTTGGTGTATTCTCCAATGTAGTGCTTTGGAGATCCACTTGAGAAGGGAAAGCTGAAGAGGTAACAACATAAGGCCAGGGATGCGTGGCAGCCCTTAGCAAGCAAATGCTTATGAACAAACTCATATTTGCTTGAGGATATTAAACAATTAAATGAATGAGGTCCGCACTGTGAAATTCAGAGATCTGGCAAATAATGTTTATATTGGTGGCTTCTTCAGGAATATTTATGCTGTAAATTTTGGGGATGTCTCATTTCTTCTGCTAATTGGGCTTGAGCAGACATTTTCATCTGGTGAGTTACCTACAACAATACAAATGCTAAAAGGGAAAAAGTGATAAAGCTTGAAATATGAACAGTATATTTAAGAGACTAGTCAAATCTTGAATTTTCTAGGTTATATTAATTTAGAATTATATGTATGACTAAGTTTGTGACATTTCTAAATTAATTTTTTAAAATACTCTTTTCTTTTGATACAGAATTCATAAAGGGTGGCATTGAACTCCCTCTTAGAAGACAAACACATGTGCTACTTGCAATTTTTTAATAACAGAGAGATGGTACTTAAAAAAAACAGACTTACTTCCATTGACTCCATTAATGGCATCATACTCCATTCCACCAGATCTGTGTGAATCCGAAAATAATGATTCAAGTCGAGTCACTGCTTTCTCCAGTCTCTCCATCAAACCATGAGTCTCTGCCATTCTGAAAAAATCATTAAGGATAGAAACAAAGTTAGATCCCTCTGAGTAAAGCCCATGCTTTATTTCATGTTACAGTTCTGTTCGTTTTGTGGCTGTATTTTTCAACAGCTCTTACGATAATACTTTTTTTCTTCAGTATTGTCTTTCTGGCATATAAGAAGTTGCAGTGAAGCAGCTGACATACAGTAACTTGCTTCTTTGTCAACAGGGAATATGATCAGTACTCAGCCCTGGTTTTTCATTGTAAACAGCAGATTCAAACCACTGCTAGCACACCTTTGGACAGTCTATACATGTACAAATTATGACAAATATATGTGTATGCTCTCAATCAGATAGCGAGATGGCTGAAATATTTATAAATGTCACTGGTAAAAACGTAGGCCTACACTGATTAGCATCAGCCATTTAAAGAGGCAAAAATACAGACCCTAATAAAGCTTGACTGAAAGCCAGACTTTAAATGTATACCTCCTGATTTTTGAAAAGGTAGTCTAAAATTTGCCTCAGTCTTTTATGCTTTGTAGTAAGACTCTGCCACTTCATTGAAGATTACACAAGAGTCCAAGAAGGTCTTCTGTTTATTCTTCTGATACGATTTCCCGTTACTTAACTTTTTTCTTATGAAAGTACCTGATATGAATCAGTATTTCCCAAGGTTTTTAAATCAAGCACTTTCTTTGGAAAGAAAAAAAAATCCAGGGGCCTGCTTGTGCATTGCTGCTACAGTGCTTTTGATTTAAAATGAAATAGAAATTAGGTTAAATTTTTAAGAACTCACATGTTACTTTCTTTCCCCACACGTGCTTATATGCTTGCTTACATGTCAGGAAGTGTAGGCATTGACATTTTTGAATACGAGCCAGTGTCTCAGGGAACACAGTGCTATATACACCTCAGACTGAGAAACAGTTATATAAGCAAAGACAACGCTATGTTTAAATCCCCTATCTTTTAATATAACACGTTTACTGTACATGTTCCTCACTTAAGGTTGTGAGTGTTTTATTCTGCTAAGTGACATACAATAAGGGGTGTGGGGGGGTGATCTGCGGCTCTTGATTAACATGATCCTTGCAAACAGTTCCAGCTCGGCTCCCACGCTGGGCTACGTCCCCTGCCCAGCACTGAGGTGCTGAGAAGTGGGGGGCAACGGGGGAACCCCCATCCCCGGCTGGGGCGAGCAGCTGGTCAGCAGCTCTCTGGGGTCCCTGCCCTGTGGTGCTCTGCCACAAGGCACCGCTCCCTGTATGGCTTGTGGACTAGAAAGGTTAGGCATTAGGCATACCTGGACTGGGTGTGTCAATGTATTAGCTCCTAATGAACAGCCTGCTAGAAGCCCTAGTGTTTCAGAGGTATCAAAGCGTAATAGTAGATTCCAATAAACTCTGCCATACTGTGCAACACTAGCAACCAAAACAATGGTGCTTCAGCATCCCCATACCCATTAGGGCAGAACACCTAAATGTTATACTTAAAAAGTAAAGTAACACGAGAAGAGCCTTTTTTATTTACAGATTAGTAGCAATAATTCTTATGAATAAAACAAATAACAGTATTTTCATTTTTAAAATTAAAGTGCAAGAGAAGATTAGCTACCAGGGCTGTGGAAACACATGCAGAGCTCTTGTGCTGAGTCATGCTGCCTGTCAAACAAGGTGGGACCTTCAGACTTTACCCTATAAATATAATGAGGTTTGTGTTTGACCTAAAAGTGAAGCAGAAGATTTTACAGCGAGAAACCCTCAGGAGAACCATTCTCATGAGAAAGTTTTGTCTGGAATTTATGGGTTTTTCCTATTTACACTAAATAAAAAAGCAAACCCCCAAAAGAGGACAACATTAGAGAGTGTGCACATAAACACTGTCAAAATTCAGAGGGGCTGTCTTTGCTTATACTGAAAATGCATGCTATTCTGTTTGGAAAATCAATTAATTTTTCAAAAAAACACCTTAACTTTTTGTAAGGCTACAAGTATCTTGGCAGGAATGAGATGAAAGTATCAGGACAGATTCTGAAATGTTCAAACTTTTGTAAGAATATTAAACCTTTTCTTGAAGCACTGTTAATCCTCAATAATATTTTGGACACATTCTTTTCATGTTTTACCCTGCTACATAAAAGCCTAAAATAGTGTCTGTTTTAAAAGTTATGTTTTAAACCAGTCTAAAGTCAGTCTGATCTAACATAGCATACAGTCAACTCATTTCATCAGTATTTTAAAGTATATTTCCAGTATAGTTCCTGTTTGTCTTTATTTGAAGATACAGACTGGGTTTTTTTCATCTGCCTTAAAATTTTCCTTGATGACATACACAAATGTCTTTGGAAGACCTGTTACTTTTTGGCCTCTTCAGCCTGATTTTGCCTGTGGATGGACCCAGCTGTTTGACTACAAACCTAACATGTTTGACTGCACACACTTGGAGGTCTGAGGAATCTCACAAATGATCAGACTTGTAATGTTCTACCCAACCAACTGCCCTCTGTAATATGCTAAGAATATGGATTACAGTGCCAGAAGCTCAAGAAAATAACCCAACGCTAACCCTATGGACATTTTTATGCAACACTTTCCAGCTGCATCATAGTCTTTTGCTCACTATATTCTTCACAGCTTTATTCTATTTCCATTAGCTGGAGAACTACAACGTTGTTCTTCCAAAAGCAGGTATCACCAGAGAGGCAATCACAGAATAATACATTGTTATAGTCTTTCTAGACAGAAGTAGGAACCATTTTTACCATAAAATTAGGGATGCCAGGTTTTTATTGTTTTTATAAGGAATATTACACTTAAGAATGCCTCAATCATTATGTTTACACCGAACCTACCTTTTTATCCATGTACTCACACATTCATGACTACATGGTATTTGTATCTATACTTATATATATGTATGCCCATAAGTACACACACAGTATACCAGTATACCCTGTCATGTATGAATAGAGTGAAGGTATACTTTTGTCTCTACCGTATATAACACTACAAGAGCAAATCAGTTGTACATATAATAACCTCGCATTTACACTTCGCTTTACCATCAGTTGACTGGGTATCTATCTTACAAACAAGACTGGAGTGAATGTTACTGTTCTGAAGTAAAGACTCCACTAAGCAATAGCATGACAACTCTCTTCATCCATTCTCAATCTAAACATTGACATCTTTGCCTGTATTTAGGGATTCATGCATTTGGCTCATACTGTGACAACCTTCAGCATTTTCTTGGCCTATATTCAGCTGTTCATCTGATTACTTATTATTCCACACTGCACTCTGCGTGGTCAAACCGACACCACAAAGCCACAGCTCAAAAGGAGTCAGAACACGAATGGTACAGCTTGAATCTGTGAAGATACTGTCTGTGTGATATAGCATCAGAGCTTATATTATAAATAAATAATAAGACCTGTCTACTTACAGTGCCAAATAAAATCTTTGCATGTTAATGGAAAGTAAAGAGGATGTAAATATGTCTATGGGATGCTTCCACTCCCATAAAGCACATTTTTACATCAAGACACATTCTCTATCTCATCTCCACTAGGATTTTAATTAAAGCTTTCATCTTTAAGTGGATTATTGGGGTTAATCCTGTATCTTTCCTGTAGTTGATGTTGACCACCTATAAGGAGCTAAAGCCAATAGTACTTCAACTCCCACGTAATCCTGTATCCAGTTGCTCTCTTGGTACAGTACGCTGCCCTTCATTGAAAATAAAGTCAACTAAGATCCAGGAAAGGTGTTAACCCACATCTACTGATGGTCATTTAAATGTTGTCATTGTTAACAGTCCTTAGTGCACAAAAAATAAGAGACCCACAGATCTGCCCTGTTTACTGTTAGTGATATCTTTTGGGGAGTGCTAAAGGCTTGTGGCAATACTACCATCTGTCATTTCTTCCCCAAAAGAAGTGAAGCCAAAACCATACAGAAAGAAGGCATGCTGAAGACCAAAAAGCTGATCTCTTTTTATAGACAGGCCTTGGGATAATATCACTGCTTATCTCTCCAATTTGACAGCTGTCTCAAAGCACCATTTATCTATTATCAAGGGAAAAAAACCCTTGTCTGTAGACTAAAATTCTCTGACATACTCATCCCAAATAGCAGTCAAACAGGAAGCCAAAACACACAGGTACTATTCCTGTTATCACTGTATATGACTTACAACAGAGAACCATACTGCTCTCTCTCAAGAAGAAACAAGCTGTAACGAGCCCACAGGGAAAAGCAGTATAGTAGCATAAGGGGAAAAAATACACATATGATGACTTATCGGGAATGTAAAAATGGTAGGTTTGAACACAGGAATGGTGCCACCCTGTAAAGTATGATATTATTCTGACAAACATCAGCAAGACATAAAGTTCTATTGTTTGTTTCACTTCCTAGAATTAATTTAGAATAAAAAGGAGTAACTTGCTCATTTATTTTTTTTTTCACCTGAGTAGTGGTCCTTCCAAATCCACTTTGCATCTGAAAAATTAAGCCAGGTCTCACTCGTGCTTATCATCTGATATGCTACAGGTCATATTTTGCTTTTCTTCTCTATGCCAAAGCAAGGCAGTTGTCTAAAACAGAATACAGGCAGCAATGCAGCATTTTAATTATATCTAACATTCCTACACTGATTGGAAAATCACAGTCTTACTGAAAGGACAGCAGCCTGCACAGGTGCTTTCTCTCATAGTCTTTTAATAAATTGCTACTGAGTTGTGACATAAAATACACAGAAACCTAGATTGCCAGCTGGTACTAACAGAGAGCCAGTCATGAATATTTTGTAGATCCAAAGTACTATGCCCTCTAAGAGTTCTCCTCTACAATACCTATCAATATATATCAATAGATATCAATATATATCAAGGGAGAGGAAATGCATATGAGTTCCTGAACATCCTCTCAAATTCCAAAAGCGTCTTACGGCACTTCAAGCACAGTCAGCGTGAGCCTGCAATGGCTAGCTTTCCTACACTGCCATTCAAATATA